GCTACCGTATGACAAGCTTATGACAGCATATTAAGATTAAAACTTCAATGAAGTACAAATCAGTAGGTGCGAAACAACAACTTAGTGCTTTCGGTTTTTTATTAAGCAATATCAGATACCACAAAAAGATGTAGAACAAGGTCGATCGACATATTACACTAATCTCGTGGCTCAAAAATCTGCATCAAAAACGAATCTCAGAAAATTTTTCCGGTATCCAGTAAAAAACAGCTTTTTTGACTAAAAAAAAACTTTAAAAATGTACTGATTTAACACAACCATTTTTGGTTGACTTACCTCAAAATTTTTTTAAGGCAACTTTGGAACTTTGCCAATATTTATCGTCAATTTTCTCAAACATTTTCCTGTAGTCTTGTTATTGATTTGGGAGAAATCGAAAGATCAATTTCGCAGACCTAACGAAAGACGGGAGAATCCGTATGGGGCATTTCCCAAATTTTTCTCAGTATTGAACTAAATGGTTACCTGAGTACGGCTACCACATCGCGATACGCACAAATCAGATATGTATAGTCATCATAACTCTCGAAATTTTTTGAAAACTATCCATTGAAGAAATAGAGCCAATCGTAAGTAAACTTTTTAAGATCTAACAAAACCCCAAAAAAAATAATTTGAATAAACTGCCGTTGTTTTTCTGGTTAAATTTCGTTTGAGGAAGTTTTGATGAACAATTGACGTGAATAATAGAGATTAACAGTATACATTGGTTTAGTATGGGGTGGGGAACAACTACTGTGGTAAGAAAGAGAATATTAAATAGAGATTAGACTGAGACTAGAACTGAGAAACAGAGAAGGAGAGAGAGCGGGATGATGAGTTGTTGGCGGGAGGGTATTCTGGCGCGACGCTGGAGATCCTAATCTTTCTCCCCGTCAATCCCCACGTATAGCCCCATGTATCATCTTCATAAAGTCGTAGCCATTCTATTCTACAAGCAATGCTTAGATGACACCCATTGATCCTTGTGTGGTAAGTCAATAGAACTTATACCATTCAATTATTAGCCAAGATTGCATATTGCGTATCTTCATGGCTTACTATCTGTTTATTAATAACTAGAACATGATTCAATGTATTTTCTGAAAAACACTACTTGTAGATTTCCAAAAAGTTTTTTTTTCTGGTCTAGAACATGATTGACTTTTTTCCGCTAATCAAAAAAATGTGGGGCGTAAGAGCTCAAAACTAAAAATTAAGCCAGGAAAACTTAAATATATCGAAAGAATTGGTTGATGATGGTCACAAAACTTGAAGATGCTGGACTCATTGTAATTTTTGGACATCACAATTATATAGATACGCGGATTATTGTCGTATTCTGGGAATGCAAAACCTTGCACGATACCTTATGTAGCAACGCCTTCATATTCCTTTTTCTTGCAAGGTTCTGCAATGTTTTGCAAGAACGTAGCAAGATCAAATTGGTAAAATACAAAAACAGATACTATACAATATTTTTCCGTATAATATAAAAATTTATTGTCAGTAAAAAATCACGATTACTTAATTTTTCGTAGGTTTTCTCGGATCTTGTTAACTATCCCCCTCTATGGTACCTTGAAACGAATCTCCCATTTGTCAATTCTCTGATCAAATCTCCCCCTATAAAGAGAGAATTGATTAGTAAAGCATCTACAAATTTGGAACCGTGTTACGAACCTCCCCCTCCCCTTTTGGCGGGAAATTGTTAACAAGATCCGGTTTTCTCAATTATTTACAGTTTCTACCAGGATTTAACAGCTGCGTGGCAAAATCTCAAACCTGAGACTAGGTGTCACGACTGCTTAATAAACAAATCGAACCAAAGCTGAATTCAAAAACCGATATTTTCCGCCTTGGCAGATTTCACCAATTTCTTCATATTAACCCACGTTTCCGAATTTTGCTACAATTATTACCATTTTTAATCTGCTTTACAACATTTTTTTGTGAGCCAAGTTTCTATACAAATTTTCAACTAAATTTTTCCAATAACCAAATCGAATCGAGAACCGAGCTGAAACTTCATAAACTGGGCTAAACCGAACCGTCATTAAGACATCCAAACTATACAAACCCGAATAAATTTGAAGATTTAGAAATAAACCGCTGCAATTGTCTCCGAAATAGAAATGAACAAAAAATGAAAAGAAAAATTCAAGAAAGTATTTAAAAATATATATATTTTTTTCAACTTCTTGCACTAAAAATTTCAAATATTTTTACAAACATTTTTTGACCAGAGAAGCGCTAAATGAAGCTTCTAAAACTAGTTTTTCTTATTAAAATTAAATATTTTTTTGCCTAAATTGCTTGTTTTCATACATAACGTTACTCGATTGCTTTACTCGCTTGAAATATGACGAAAAATTTCGAACCTACTTTTTGCAACCATTTTAGAAATGTTTTAATGTGGTTGGAATCATGACTGAAAGGGCTTCGATAAGATTTATCACCTCTCAGCCCAGTCTGATGATTAATTGTGGTACCTGAGTTTGCGTGGAAAAATGGCAGGAACAACAATATATAGGAGTCAAGTTGTAAGAATCCTGTTTAGCCTCCTACAAAAAATTTTTTTGTTCTAGAAGTTTTTATAGGTTTTGTTGGGATTTTCAACTATCTTACAAAATTCTTTTAAGAAAACTGCTGAAATAAATTTTTGAATGTAATCACGGATAAAAATCAATTTTGAAAACTTTTATTCAAATTTCTGAAATTTTTGCATGTACAATTGTTCATATTGTTTTTATAGAGTAAATTTAGAGAAAAAAAATCCGAAACATTTTTTTGATATTATTCTTAGTTATAAATATTTTGCAGTTCGAAGTTATTTTGAAAACAATAAAAATTCAAGTTTCAGAAAAAAGATCATATAGCTCGGGACGTGTTGTATGTGTGGTGCAGCGGTATGTTGTCAAAAATTGTAGAAATCAGCAAAAAATATATGCAGAACCTTAGTAGCTATTTCAAAAAAAAATGGCGTGCCGAATGTTTAAATTCGGCTAGTGTGTCCGTTATTGTAATCTGCTTCCGCGGAGAATTTTCGTACTGGCTTTGAGCAAGTTTAAAAAACTAATGACTAAAAAAATTTCAACTTTTTTCTTAGGAAAGTTTCTATCTTGCAACTTTTTTTATTTAAAAAAACCAGTTATTTCTTTTTTTGAAAAACCAAATAGTTCTTTTTTAACACTCTTAAAGCCTAATTTTCTAAAAAGATTCTTGTGACAAAAGTTCTATGATAGCCATATTGCTCAACACGGTATATATTTCATACTTATTGATTAACTTATTAGGACTATTTTGGCATTAGTTAGCCTAATTATCAATAAACAGAGAGACAAATTCAATTTCATCATCGCATATATTATTGTTTTTTATTTGCCTATTGCTGTAAGAATGATGATCCTCGCCAGAATGTTTCAAAAGTTTCCTTTGCAAGCTAGGCCGCAAAAAAATATATATTGGTAAATTTGTGCATGAGTTGTGCCTGATTCTATTCCTGAGCTACTAAACAAAAGAATATGAAAAATTTGAAAAATTTTTGCAAGATTTAAGCTTATCATTCTGTAATCTTTACTTAATTTGGTCCATTTCATTTTGACAAACTAATTTTTTTTGTGCGTTAAAACATCCAACATGGGATCAAGTCAAGAAGCAATGTTTCGAAACTTGGGACTGACCAGCTCTTGAAATATGACGAAAAATTTCGAACCTATTTTTTTGCAACCATTTTAGAAATGTTTTAATGTGGTTGGAATCATGACTGAAAGGGCTTCGATAAGATTTATCACCTCTCAGCCCATTCGAAGAAAGTGAAGAATACATAAGCTTGGGGTGGTTTTTGGTCTGATACGAGCAGTCTCGTTTGTTTTATAAGATTAAAATATCATTTCGAAAGCTCATTTTATACTTTTTGTGAGTTTTTTAAACATGCACCAAGATAACTGTTTTTTTTCTGATTTTTTTCTATTTTAAAGATTTTGTGCATAATAAAACCTATGAAGGGCAATCAGCTCTTTCATTACATTTTTTTAGTGTAATCAATTTGATAAAAATTTATATCTCGATTTATCGCGAAAGTCAAGATGCCGGTTAAAACTAAAAGATTCAAATATAAAACAATTTCAATCAAAACTTAAATAGTTTTTTTCCAATCGGGTATTTTTCCCAATTTGTGTCTGACGTGGTGATTTGTGAGAAAACCTTGACAGTACTACGTTTTTTGAAACTGTGTAAATATATCCCCCGGGGTACCTAGTAACGAATACAGAGATTCTCTTCGCACCTAGTAACGAAGAGATCCCCTTTTTCATTGAAGAAAAGACAGAGAACGCATTACTTTGCATTCAGTCTTGCAAATTTTTCTTTTAAATTTTTGTTGGCTTTGATTTTGTTTATGATCGTAGTTTACAGAACATCAAAAAAAATTGTCCAATGGTAAACCGATCTGCTTCTAGATTTTGCGTTTAATTATACTGTAAGCCATAAGTTACACTATCAGCGCAAAGAATGAAAAAATCACGTTGTTGTTTGAAGAGTTGGTCAGAATTGTCAACTTGAATTGAGTTGCATCTACCTTGCTAAACATAGTAGAGTATTTTCAGCTCGAATGATTGACAGCGTCAACCGACCATCTCCGGCAGAGCAGTTCTGGCAACGCAGTTTCAGCCGATTCAATTGACAAAAGCATCACTCTTTTTTCATGTCCGTCACGACAATTAACCACAGTGGCCGATTGTTATACTACACGTACATTTTCTATCCACATTTTAGATTGTGGTAATCGTTAATCAGTCAATGTGTGCCTCGCAGCATCTGTCACTTTACTCTAAAATCAAACTTCTTTCGCGCTCATCGATTTGATTTATCCAAAAACGATGACTTGATTTGTGACCGCGTTAAAGTCTTAAAACATGATAATATACCAAGTTGGCTCTTGATATTCATCATCGTCATGTCATGCTATGCGAATCATGAAAAAGTTTGCGTGTAAAATAATGAATTATTTCAGCGCGAAATTTAACAAAATAAATGATTAAAAGTTGAAACGAGAAACTTTGTCGTCGAACAAAATGTAAATGCAGGAATTTACACAATAATAAAGTTTTGTGCTATCAAAAATATGTACACTATAGATCTTTGACTTCTTAAGTAAGTGGGAGCTAAACTGAACTGGGCTGACTAGGTTTCTAGACTATAACTAGTCGACCCTTATAAATTTTAAGATACTGCAAAAGGTGAATTGAGTTTCAATAATGTGACCATTTGTTGGTGTCTAGTATTTGCATTTGTGCAGGTAGTTGGTTGATTACATCGTCTTTGACCGTCTAGTTTGTGAATTTGATACCCTGTGACCGTCGCAAACTTTTCCCCGGAACTGGGAGTTCCTCGGAATATTGCAACTTGAAATGATGACTGCTTTAATTCCTCTCTTCTAGGCTTTCCCCGCCTTCGTTCATTTGGCACGAGTGATTCTGGTAAACCATTTGGGATATGTGTTGATTTTGTTGTGCCTCTGATTTGTCAGCAGAACTGGTTCACGTGTCAAAAGTACCTGTCAACACATTTCAATTTTAACCACATGTTTTTTCACACCTCGAACTTGTTCATCAATTCTGATTAAAATTCACCATAGATTTCACTTCTCAAAGTTCTGCTGCAAAAATTGTTCACTTATTTCACTCCGTAAAATTTTTGTTCGTAAGATCGAGTAAAATCAAAAATGATTGTTAAAAAAAACTCTTTTTAATTTTTTATTTCAAAGTTTGCCTCACCATTCTGAAATGTTTGTCGCGGTGTGCGGTTGGCCAATTAGACCATGCGAGGAAAGGGCACTTGATCTCATGGGAAGCGCGGAGCCAAGCATCGGACCCCCTGAACTGACAGATGTACCGGAGAGGTTGAGATTCGAACTGCCGTTCTCTTGCTGGTGCCTTTGCAGTGACTGTATTGCAAGCGAGTGATGCAAGTTCCCCATTGATACATTTGAACCCATATTCATCATTGATTGCCCTGTTAGATCATTTAGATGGAAAATCGGATCCGGTCCGGCTGAAGGTGAGTGTTTCTGGATTGCAGCAGCGGAGGTAGCGAGGTGGTGATTTGAACTTGAAAACGGGTGTGAAATTGAAGCCGAGGCTGGAATCGAACCCGAGACCGAGCAAGTGGTGGCGGCAGAATGGTTTGAATGAGAAAGAAGAGCTGGCATTTCGTTTTGTCTACTAATTAATGACCCGCTTGCTGGTAGCGTTGATGGCGACGGGTGCGATTCGGCTTTCAGAAGTATTGTTTCGACTGCATTTGACGAGGCGGGGACAATTGAGTCGGGACTATTGCTGCCGTCAATATCAGTCGGCGATTCGGCTTCGTCCGAGCAACTTGACATTGGTGAGTCAGGCATAACATCGTCGCAGCCCTCTTCGAAATCTTTTCCATGTATCTTCATGTGTTTCCGCAGAGAGGAGGGATGTGTGTAACTTTTGTCACATCCTTTGAATCGACAGTTGTAGGGCTTGTCTGACGTATGCACGTGAGAATGTTTCTTACGATCCGAACTGTTTGCAAAGCGTCGATCGCAACCCGGAAATTCGCACTTGAACGGTTTTTCACCTGAAATAAAATTAATTAGTCAATCAAAATGTCCAACAAAAAGTTTTCATATCATAGATTTCTTATGATTACAATTTTTAGCTTCTTAATGACTGACCATTTTCTTTTTTTAATGCAAATTTTAATTCAGTGTAGTACTTTATGGAATCACAAGTAACGAATTCTAAGTATTTATATCGGTAGGCGACATAAATATGGTGTATTTTGACAGGTAGAACTAAAATAGAGGCGCGTGTTAGTCTGTTGCGATGATGTTAACAATCAAAAATGTTCAATCGCTTTCGTAACCTGTAATTATCTGTAATTTGTATCCCTAAAAACATTCCCGATCTAGCTGTGAGGTCTCGCGTGTTAAAAAGTTTGCAAAAAATTGGCGCGCCTGCTTTGGAATTCACGAGGCGCCGCACTCCAAAAGTCGAGACTTTTTGTTCATAACTTTTCAATTGCTACTTGGGAAAAGGATTACAAGGCATAAAGACATAGGTCATTTTGATTGGGGGCACTGCGAGCAATCTTCTTATTAGATTTAAAATGCCAATTTCAATTTTGTCCGAGATTTTCGACAAGAGAAAAGTCTCAAAATGGGGAAAATGTTGCTTGTTAGCAGTCGACGGAGCGAGAGAGAAAGTGTTGTTAGTTTAATCAAAAGTTTATCAACTATTCTGTTCTTTAAAATACATGCACATGGGTACTAAGATTGACAGTCGCTATGACAGGAAATTTGAGCCCAGTTGATTGGAAATACATGATTTGGGCAAAAATATTTGCACTTTGGCTCTTCTGGACTGTGGAAGAAAATTGGGATCTACACTTCTTATTTCTGGCACTAATCAGACGCCAAAGGTGGTCAGTCATAAACGAAGGAAAAGAAACAACTTCTCTAAACAAACAACCAATCCTTTTCTTTTCTCTCTCTACCTATATCTTTATCTATGCTCGGCCATTTTTAGACCTATTTTCAATTGAACAATTTTAAACCAATTCAACATGGACCGATTGAAATATGACAAATATGACTTCGTCAGTGACAAAAAACAGGAAAAAACTGAAATAAAAAGAGTTGATTATTCTAGAAAACAATGATACAAGGAAGGAATCTGAAATTTTATATTTGAAAATGAATGTTGCGAAATGAAACCAAAAAGGGCGTAAGTGATTGATACTACCTAAGTATCAAGTATTTGCCTGAATTTTCTATTTTTGTATCGAACTAATCTGATTTTGAAAATTGGTGCATCCTATTAATTAAATTAGAGATTAGGTGGACTCTTACATAATAATAGGAGTTCTATTTGGTCCTCAATTACCAATGTAACCAATTAAGACTTGTTTGTTGAACAAATAGTGTAATTAAATGGTGGCTTCCGATCTAATACGTTGCATTAATTGATAATTATGCCTCGAATTGGAATCAAAGCAGTGGATTAATTGCCTCAAACGCCTGCTAATCGACTGGTGTTACGAATGGAATAATAATTGGATTTTAATTAATCCAACCCAAAACAAAACCCAAAAACCACACAATGCCCAAATATGGAAAAATAGTAACTTTAATCAGGTTCCAACTTTAACAATTACCTTACACCCATTTTGGGTTTTTTTAAAACGAAGACTACAAATGGGTCTGTATCTTATGTATTGAAAAAAAAATAATAAAGTTTTAAAAGATGAAATTTAGAGCTGAGCAAGTAAGAAAAAAAGTTAGCCCAAAATTTACTTGAAGCTTAAAAATATCTAATTTAAACGGTTTTTGATTGATTCATTTCTGATTTTAGAAGTTTGATGGATTAATCAGGCCTGATGTTTTTTCGGTACAAAAAATGATAGTTGGGTCCCTTTATTTTAAATGGGTCCCTGAAGAAAAATTTGTAGGCTTCAAAAACTTCGAAAATATGGCTCGCATTTGTTTACTTGTTTTTGAAGTTTTCACAAAAATTGCGGGACCTTTCATACTTGCTTTTTCCTGGGGCCCCAACTATCATACTTGAACCGTTTTTTCAAAATAATTTTCTTGGGACCCAACAAACATACTTGTACCGTTTTATCAAAATAATTTTCCTGGGACCCAACTATCATGTTTGTACCGTTTTTCCAAAATTGCCCTTAAATTTAGGTCGATTTCAATGTATTTAAGACTTGAAATTTTAGTTTACCTGTATGTGTGCGTTTGTGAATCTTCAAGTTTTCCGATCTCGCAAACACTTTTCCGCATCCTGGAAACGGACATGGAAACGGTTTTTCACCGGTGTGAACTCGAATGTGATTCACCAACTTGTACTTGGCTTTAAACGGTTTTCCAGCCCGAGTACAATTTTGCCAATAGCAAATATGGCAAGACTGTTCCGGGCCGCCGACATGCTCGACCGTAATATGTGTGACCAATTCGTGCATTGTTGTAAAGGTTTTGTTGCAGGGTTTTTTCGGCTCGGATTGGTCTTGGTCGACCCAAAGACAAGACAAATCTTGTTTTAAAGGTTGTCGCATGTATCGGAAAAACGCATTGTGACTCGAAGGCATCATCATGTTCATATGGGGGTTGATTTGAGAAAAAGGGTCGTTTCTGAAAGCACTGAACTGATCTGGTCTGTAAAATTGGTTCATGGATAAAGCAGACTGTTGCTGACAGCTCTGGTCAAAAGAAGGGAAAAACATGGAGGTTGCGGAAGGGTCGCCTCCTAACGCCGAAGTTGACCCTCCGATAAACATATTCGGATTAGCATATGAATCGACTGCTGAAGAAGGCATTAAGGAACTCCCAGGTGCTGAAACTCCTCGGAAGAAAAAATCGCGACTTGAAGAGTAGGGAATCTGGTTATAAGAAGACGCTTGATTTGATGAGCTTCCTCCTGAAAGGTTGAATGCGGCCATTGACGAATGGTCAACGGGATTCATCGGGTTGACAACCATCGGGTTCGGTGGTGAAAGTTTCAGATGAGGAACCATTCCTCCAACATCGGACCCTGGGAGTCCCGAATATCCGGCGGTTGAGACGTTGAGTCCCATTGCATGATGATCTAGCACCTGGTTTGAGAGGTCCCCGGCAACTGACGCGGAGAGAGAAGCGGCGGAGCCTGGCGCTGGTGGAAGCGAAAAACCGCCGAGCTTTCCGAAAGTGTTGTCCATAATGCGACTTGTTAGAACATCAGTACTCATAGTTCAGTCAAATCAAAATTCAAATCGGATTTTAGAGGATAAGTCAAATCAGGAATCCAGGAATCGATGTTGGTTTTTATTGTATATTTTTTTTGACGAAGATCAATGTTTTGGTGAGGTGTATGGATAAGTGGATTTAAACGGGGTTCGAACGGTATGGGGTTCAAAAACGAGGCAGGCAAATTTGATCACCTCGGGAGGAGGTCTGGAAGAGTTTTACTTTAGAAGTGCAGATCCCGCGGTTTTCGGGGAGCGACTAAGGAGAATGTCAGTGGGCGATTGAGTTTTCAGACGAGCGAGAGAGAGAAGTCGAAGTTGATTGAATTGAAGTGATAGAGAGATTGAACAATTGATACTAGTTGCCAATTGCTGAGCTTAGTGGGAATTGCTGTGCGCTATTTTCGCGGCTGAGACTAACAATCCGATTGGCCAAGATAAGCGTCGAGTTATCCAGTAAGAATTGGACAATTTAAAAAATACTGGATCCAATATACTAGTACAGTTTGTTATTTATTAATAAAAGAGTAGATAGATTAGAGTGACGCTTTCACTTAATTCGTTGTCATTATCAAAATTATTTCTCATTTGAGGCATAATAATAAATAATTGTACATTTTTCTTTCTGTCAAATGAGACTTTTTCATTGGTCGGCCTTAGAAATCTATCTGGTTAGCTGAGCTAACTTTAGCCAGCTAGAGTAAAAGATTAAGACTTTGTTTGGACTCGATTTAAAAGCAGAAGAATTAAGATTGGCCAAACTTCTGTCTTCTTGCCAATCCGGCTCCTTTCAAGATTCCCCTTTTGGACACAAGCCCAGAAACTTCTCCCAGTTATTACAAGCAAGTTATATTATAACCGAACACCAATTGGTTATATAGAGTAGTGTGCAGGTTATAATAAGTTACAAGGGGATGATTGATTGGTGCCTAATCTTCTGGGGGATAATATTATATTAATGTAAGATTGAGATAACCGAATATTCATTCATAGTTTAGACTAGAATGGAAACTAACTTCAGACAATTTGAATCCCTCCAACCTGAAACTAATATCGAATTTATTTATGATCATACAGCGGTCGTGTGTTAATCAATTTTAATAAAGGTGAGCGGGGGTTCGTTTCCATACTGGTAAATTTGACCCAGCGGGAAGCGAGGGGGATTACGGGTCGGCATGAAGGTGTTAAGGAGATCCGCTCCCTGCCGACCGGCGCAGCGCCAGACATTCGAGCAACCGAGGGGTTCCGATTGATAGCCTAGATTACAGATTAGACTAAGATCAACCATGGCCCTCTATTCTTATTGATAAATAAAATAACCAAGTAAACAACACGTGAAGTTGCTATAATATATCTTCTAAAACAGCAACAAAATAACAATCGCCTCAAATTCAATACAAACCAGCCTGGGCCTGACCCCTCAACAGTATTTAATATCGCCTTAACCCCCTAATTTAAACCCCTCCCGTTAAATCATTTCTAGTAAACATTCCAGTTTCTGGAAAGATATTTAAGAGGCATTTGCTTCTGATTAAAATGTAGTAAAATGTTCATGTATTTGCTGAAATGTTTTAGAAATGTTTGCAACAGTAGTCTTAATAAGTTAAAACAGTTAATTCTCAGTCTTGACGTTGGCCATAGAATCCAAATCAAAATAGATTTTGAGTTTTATGGCCGCAAATTTTGCATTAAAAAAGTAATTATTAAAATTGTGTCGTTGTGATCTTGTCGATTGATCCAGTCATTACAAAACTTTTTTTTGGAAAGCTCTGGATTTAGGCGTGTTCTAAAAAGGATATTTTAGTAAGTTATTAATTCAAGGTGTACCTTTAGCAAAGGTGTCTCATTACAATTTGGATCAAATTTACCAAAGAAACAAAGTGATCTTTTTGAGAGCAGGATAAGAAATGTTTGTTTGCTTTGGATCTGTTATTAACACCTCCGCTATACCAAAGAAGTCAATTGAGTCAGACAATTTTAACTTAAACACCAAAGGTGTTCACAGGAACTGTGCAAATTACGATAATCTGCGCAATAATATTTCTAAATTAAAACTTCATTTGAAGTCGTTTGGGAAAACTTAACGGTCAATTTAGCCCTGAAGAATATTTTTGCAGGTGAACAAGAATACAAATTAAATTTTAAAATATGATGCTAGTTAGTGCGAATAACAATTTAAGCTCCAAGAAGCGTTTTCGAGTTTCAGCTTTCAAAAGATATATTTGCTCATATAAAATCATTTAGTATTTGTTTTCTATCGATTTTCTTTCTCATCATAACTGATATCTCTAAGGAAATTCGAGGACTTTGGGGTGCCTCGACACAAAACACTCAAGATAGAAGCGCCTATTTAAGCTATGAAAACATGTCAACAAAAGATAAAGGTGGCCATAAAATTGCTCATAATTCGTGAGAAATTAAAGACTAGTTAAGTTAGCGTGCATGACGGGTGCCGGACATCAAGCCGACGGGACTTCAAGCCGAATTGTAAAATTAGGGACTTCAAGCCGAATAATTCCTTATAAAGTCGTGAAATATGAACAATTTGAAAATTTTTTGAAGAATTTTTGAATTTCATGATCTTTCTTCACTAGTTATTGGCGTTTGCATATAATTTAAGCCTCCAAATGATGTTCCGGAAAGTTGAAAAGTAAAACATGGTTGAAATCATTTTTCATGTTTATAATTTATGTATTTCAAAAACCGGCTGATGTTATTAACGGATGCGAATCACAAGCGGCGCATTGTCATGAATAACGCTTATTATGGACTTAACTTGCCAACATTTTAGAAAAGCAACATTTTGCAGATGATAAAAAGCGTTTTGGGGTGCTTGTAAAGTTTTAATTTCGGCTTGAAGTCCCGTCGGCTTGTTGTCCTAGACCCTGCATGACGTGTATTGTCCATAAGCGGTCAATTGTCTGAAGTCAGCGCACAGCTGAAACCTGTCGAGAAATTAGATTGACTTACAAGATGAGAATCAACTAATGATCATGATGATGATGCATCGTGAGAGTTTTTCGCACGCAGTCCGCAATCTAAACAAAGCTCGGACTGCTAAAACAACTAAGAAAAAATCACTCACTTAAAATGTAACATAAAACGCCTTTCTTTTTTAGAAATTACGCTTCGTGATCTTTAAAATGAGAAAAGGTCGTTGATTGATACGATTGATTCTACGTGGATTTCTTGCCAATCAACTCTCTCTGAGTGGGCTTTTACAATTCAGTTTACTTATCTAGCTTACTTATATTTAATAGAGCAAGAATAATGTCTCTGTGGTTTAGACTTCTGATTTGGTATCATCTGGTCCGGCTCGCTCTGGCTATAGTTTGAGAGAGTACCTGCCAGTTTATTCACCACAGGTGTACATGTTCAGCATTTCAATCACCTGTCAACCAAGCTGTCAATCAAACTGTCCAATTCTGTATATTTTTACGCAGTATCTTCGTTTTTTGAAAAAATTTCGTATCAATGCCACGTTTCATGTTTCATTTCACGAAGTGGATTAATTTGGAATCAATAAGAATTTTTAAAGGCAGAGCAATAGTGCCGAAGTTCACCTGTGCTGTGCAAATAAATGTTCAACAATGCCGAAAACCATCAATTTTCCGCACTGTTGTACAGCATTTGGTGTTCGGCAATGCATTGCTTGTTTTTTTTGGGAGCTTAAAAAATTTTGATCAAGTCAACACAACTTCTTCAAGAAGGTAAAAAGTATTTGTGTTACCTGACCAGTGTCTTGAAGGGTTCATTTGAAACTATATGATGTTATTACCCAACATTTGAGTTAATTGCGATTGCACTTAAAACGATTAAGTTGGATTTTCAAAGAAAGAGGGTGTCACAGCCAAGCAGCATCAAAACTAGGCGGGGATCATTTGGCATATCGGGATTTTCAAAGTTTTTTGCAGAAAAAATGTTTTTTTTTTATTAGTTTTGACAGATTTTTTTATTCCGCCATTTTTCTCATCAATTTGTTCACACGCCGAAAGACAGCTGCACATAGCACTACTGTTTTATTGGGTTGTACGGTCCAATAAACGAGCCTTCCCCTACCAAATCACAGGTTGTTCGATTCGGAGTAACCCGCTGACTTTTATTTGGGCTCTCACCTGGGCAGATTACGGTTCTCCCCGGTTGGTGTGAAACAAAAACAAATATGGGTGTGAGAGACGGCTATGGGGAATTAGACACGATTATCGAACTCACGAATCAAAACACGCTCAACTGTCAATCAAAACTGGCTAACGAACTTGACATTGGGGCAGCTCGCACCATTCATAACACTTTAACATTCAAAACAAAACAGAAGGCAATAGATAATTTTTCCACTTAATTCCATTCCCACCAAATACAGACCAAGTTAACACTTTTGGCTTAATGAAAACAATTAAACATTTAACCAAATTCGATGTAACAAAACATTTTGCCTAAACCGTTTATCAATATTACAGCAATGTTGTGACGTATTAGTAGGAAAATAGAGGAAATATTTTGACACCATTTAAATTGATACATTAATTCTTTCTTTCTTTTTTGGTGAGAAATTTTAAAAAGTTGTTTCTTCCTTTTTTTTCCAATTTTTTATTCAATGAAGTGTATTGAAAAGAGACGTGGGATTTTATTTGGGCTATTTTGTCCAGTTAAGTTCAATGGAGTTTTGATCTACTTTTGAGATGGGCTAATCACAATGAGTGGAAAAAGGCGCACAATAGAACGGGTCCATTTTGGAATTAAACTGCACTAATGCATTTCCTTACCCAACTTCCGATTCGCCCATTCTGATTTGAAAAATCTTCCCAAAAAGTACCCTCAATCAGCCCTCCCCTTTTATACCAAACCAAATTCCCACAACTACGCAAAGTCGACAGCTCTGAATTGATGACTTGTGAATTAGAAAAAAAACCAAAAAATTTAAATAAATGTCATGTCATAATTCAATAAACATAAGAGACATCAAAATTTAACTCTACTTTAATTTTAACATAATCAAGTTTTGGAAAACAATCTATCATAGAATTCAATTTGAATTTTGTAAAATTTCGTTGGGCAGGATTCATGTTTTTTTTAATCAAGCAGAAGTAAAATTTTAGGAGGGGCAAAAATGGTAAAAAATAAAAGTCTTGTTCAGATATCAATAGTTAGGTAAAAGCAAAATATGAACGCACTGAACTAAAGTCTTCAAATAATGCTGGAATACAATGTTCATTTTTAAGCATTTTTCTCCAGGCTAGATAGTTATGCAATAATCTCTCTAAGTAGTTATGCAATAGTATCAATAATCTCACAAATTTTAAACAGATGTAGTTAAAATCGATGATTCAAGTGCGGTTATCATTTGCATTTTGATTTTTGAGACCTTCTTCGGGCGATATCAATAGATGAAAATAAACAGCGAGCATCTATCGAAATCTCAGTTCAAACAGACACATGGGAAAAAAATTGTTTTTGGACCTTTTAAATTGACATCATATCAAATCTGGTTGTAAAATATTATGTCTAGGGCATCAATAGAAAAAAAAGCATTTCAAGATCAAGTTTGGCTCATTTACGCTGCTAAAAAGTCACAAATTTTTGCTCTATATGACTCCATTCCCTAGCTGTTTTTTAGATATATTTTCTTAAAATTGAGGTGATTCCCTTTTTCTTTGAGGCAAAAAAACTTCGAATTATCAGAAAAGCAACCTAAAAAACAAATTATTGCCCAAGAC